GATCATTTGAAGAAACTTTCACAAATCTCTATTACTGAATCACAATGCTTCAATGTCAAGGTAACTCATTATACAATCAAAACAAAAAACCTAACCACGTGATTTCCACTTGGTAAAAAAAATCACACCCTTGCCCCATCCTTGGCTAGCCTTTCTGGCCACTAATCTTCCTCAGAGGGGTTGTCTTCTGATTACAAGACAGGATATCCCAGGCAATAATAACCATGCCTTGGCTCATAGCCTCATTCCCATTTATTTAAACCAAACATATATATTGACCATCATAACTACATATTATATATTTATTTTCCTATGGGTTGAGTGCAATATATGTAGCAATGGGATATCATTTCTTAGATCTCAAGAGAAGATTAGATCTCAAATGTGGTCCAAGCAAGCACAACATGTCAATTAAGAGCAGAAAAAAAAAAAAAAGAAGCAATAGTTTGCTAGAATTAGCTCTAGGGACCGCAAAATAAGACAAAGGCAGAGATAAAGCAATAGGAAGGCTGGATAGATTATGCATAGACCAGTCACAATCAAATAGTATATTGGGGTTTGGCCAAGCCAGCTCTTGCTTAGGACCAACCCAGTTATCAAGTTGATATAAACTTACTACCAAATTAGAACACTAACTTCTTTCCCTTCACAAGACACAAATTCACTTTCCAATCTTGACCATTACCGTTCATTAGAAATCACAAAGTCCTTTTCTCTACCTTCAGCCCATCATTGTTGTGCCCTTTGGCAAGTGAAAGGCAGCAATTCAAGCTTAAACTAAATCATAAAAGGCACGCCTTGGATAGGCTGCTGATGATGTAGTTGAAATGTATGCGCCTTTAAATGTTGGGATTAGGAGAAAGACTTTAGCATATTGGCGAATCCATAATTCCATATTCCACCCCAAACACCATTAATTTGCTTCCAGTAAGCTCAATCCGGTAATAACCTGTTTGGGCTGACTAATTGCTAACAATTTTTTTTCAGCTTGTTTTTCGTCTGGAAGATATAGAAAAATTAGAAAAAGTGCAATTGCGGTGAGCGTGGATCGAACACGCGACCTTCAGATCTTCAGTCTGACGCTCTCCCAACTGAGCTATCCCCGCATTCAGGTTAAAATTGTCTTTATAATTATAGTTAAATAAAAATTTGGCCTGCATTTAAACCTTTTGGGCTTCTGAGCTGATGAGTGATTGAGTGATGACAATTTTCTTCGGCCCAGTAGTTCTGGGTTCTGAAACAGTAGTGATGAGCTACGCAACGGTAGAACTTCTTTTTGGGTTGGTAAAACTATTTGGACATCCCTATCTCGGCCTGCCTCAGGCTAGGGTGGAAGATTCATGCTACCTTTTACTCTTCAAACAAATTCATGTCACAAATCATATTTCTATTCCAAACCCATGGTACCTTGATGTCAGCTAGCGTGCACTATTTTTGTTTAAATAGATATGATTAGGAAAAGGTTAAGTTGAAATTGGAAGTTTAAGTAATTAATGTTGTTATTTTGGATGTCCACTTGGATGGTCTTTAGGCACTATTCTTGTGGTTAAAATCGATCCATCAAAACAAGAAGATATCATTCAGTCCAAATTGTGTATTGAATTACACCAGCAGGCTGAAAATCCTTGCTAGCTAGCCTTCAAGAAAATGGCAATGTTTCAATATGAACTTCATCTTATTACAAAATATTGTTTATTGAGTCATTGACCTCTTATAAAATCGAATTTTAATTAACAAGATGAAAAACATATATTTTTACTATATCAATTAACCCACAATTTCTTAGGTAAATTTGAACATTTTTTTTTTATTTAGATAATGATGGGGTAACAAATACCGGCCGGCCCGGTCCCAAGAGATTTCCAACCAAAGCAATATTGAAGTGGAAGAGTAAAAAACATTACTGTATAAATAAAGCTAACTTTGTTTAATTATTTTAAATAGCAAACAACGAAAGCTATATACTACCTCAATATCATTTGGGTGATGTATACGGTATTTCTTTTATTGAGCAATATACATGATGTTTTGAAATTTGATTCCCTATATATACACGTCGGAGAATAAGCTCTTGACACCCACAAAGCAATATTCCATCAAACAAGCAGCCATGAAATTTACCATTACATGTTTTCTGCTGCTTCTCTCTTGTTATCATCTTTCTTTCCTCGGTCCATGCAATGGAAACCAGATCAACAATCTTGAGAAATTAATTAAATCCCGGAAATCTGAGAGTCCTCCTCGTGGTGAATCCTGGAGTACTGAGCTAGATTTTAACGAAGAAAACGATTTCTCACCGCAGTATATAATTGGAAGCCAAGAAGGGTTGATGGAAGCTGACAAGATTGAGACATTGCCGGGACAGCCGAAAGGAGTAGATTTTGATCAGTATGCAGGGTATGTAACAGTGGATGCCAAGGCCGGAAGAGCACTGTTCTACTACTTTGTGGAGTCTCCTCATAATTCTTCCACCAAACCTCTGGTGTTATGGTTAAATGGAGGTAATGTTTAGATATATATGGATTGTCTCTCTAGATTGCTTTGCTTGCATATATGGATTTCAATAGAAACTCTTGATATTCAAACTCTTAGGCACCTTTTCATGATGATATCCATGATTTCAACCAACGAATTCATATGAAATTTCAAGATTATTCTTGTTAAAAATAATGTTTTCTTCTTGATAATAATTAGTAATCTATTTCCATCAACCCATATATTCAAAGACAATTATCTTAAAGTAATATACTAGAAAACAAACGTTAATCAATAATTTAATATGTAATTAAACTATTTTACTATTTATGTCAATTCTTAAACTTTTCTTATCAAAAAAGTACGTATGTATGATTATGGCTTCTTTGCCTATCAGTTTTGTTATCAACGATTCATATTCTCATCCCAAGGGACCTGAAGAATCTTGTAGCATCAAGACCTAGCTGTGATCAGACAGGATTGTGAACCAATATTCAAGGGGGTCTCTCCCACTTTGTTATCCTCCGTTTTGTAAACAATATTAGGCAAAATGCATCATAATGAGCGTAGCCAATCAAGGGGTGTCTCTTTTCTAGACGGGATAGTGATATAGCAATAATTTTTTTTATATAATTTTTATGTATCATTAAATAAGTAGATACATTCAATATCATAAGTTTTAAATAAATAAAAATAA